TCCTCCTTCCTCCTCCTCCTCTTCCTCCCTTCCCGGCTGGCCAACGCAACAGCTGGGGATGGAGATGTTCCTTCCTTACATTCCAGGGATGAGAGGGGCAGGGGGATCTATCTGACACTAATTTTCCCCCTTCGGGGTTGGGTGGGAAGCTTGTTGGAAAAGGTGCCAAGGGCCGGTTCCGGAGGCTGTAGTCAAGCCGGGCGGCTAAACCCCTTTGGGGGGGGGGATGTGGTGGGCTTTAGGGTCTAAGAAGCACAAAGTGGCGGTAAACTGCTTCCGTTGGGTATAAGGAGCTCTCTTCTCCATGTTGGTTCAGCTACGTCCTCCTTTTGGACCATCTCCAGGACCATCAAGGAAGATGGTGGCTTGTTTAGAGAATAGAGGTCTGTGGGGATTGTGTGTTCTCTGTGTGTGTGTGTGTTTGTGCTAGCTCCAGGCATTGCGTGGAGTAGCAATCACCTTTGTTATGAAAATGCACCGTCTGCCTTGTCACAGATGGGCTCTTCCACCATCAGGGCCCTTCTCCTTGCCCTTGTTCTCCTTGAGCTTCCGCTGAGCTTCCGTTCCACAGAACGGCCTTTCCAGATAGGTCTGGCCACCATTCCCAGAAACCCCTAGCCAGCATCACCAATCCAGTTCCGGGAATTGTTGTTCAATACCCAAAGGCTTAAGTCGTGAGGGATTAGAAGGACTTGGTCCCAAAGTTTTCAGTGTTTCGAATATTGGTGGCCCAACTTGGACCACGCTTTCTGTGGAACACCAACCTGGGGTGGGAAGATCCACCTTCCGACCACGGGACCAGAGATTTATGGGATGCCTGTATCCATAATTCGTCCCACAAGATGCAAAATTTGCAGCCCCGCCTCCTGGGCCCAAGTAGAGGAAGCCATCTTGGTGTCCTTCAAACCTCTCCACCAATCCATCGTCATCTTGAAGGCACCGCATTAGATCCTCAGTGGGTGCATCCATTCTCGGCTTCCTGCCTTTCGAGCTGCTCAGGTTAACTCCCGACGAATCCGCCTACACTACAGACAAAAAACAACAAAAGAAAACCAGGAAGCACTTTTAGAGCTGTGTCCCGGCTTCTGCCAAAGAAACTGGGGACTTGTGGGTAACGGAGTCCCACGGCAAAACTGGCCTGCATCCATGGCTTGAAGAGAAAGCTGGGGCTGACTGGGAGCCTTGAATTAGTGTTTCTCAACAGTGGCGGCTTTAAGGAGGGGCGGACTTCAATTCCCAGAATTGGGGAATTCTGGGAGTTGAAGTCCACCCCTCCTTAAAGGGTCCAAGCTTGAAAAACACTGCCTTAAAAATTCAGGATTGACCTGGGAAAGGATTCCTTTCTCCCTGGGATCTACATCCTGCCGGATATCTGGAGGAGGGAGGAAAATATTCCAACTTTTTTTCACTTTTCCTGGCAATTTAAATGTGGTCTTTGTGCTTTCTCGCTGCAGGCAGCTGGGCTAAATTCCACATAGTTTACTAGGGGTTGTGTGTGTGCGCGCGCGTGCGTTGTGGGTGGGTGGGGGAGAGAAATAGGGTGGATTGCTAAACCTGTGCTACCACCCACCCACAACCCAACGGCTCCCCGCAATTTTTTCTAAGGCACTTATTTGGGGAAGTGGGAGTCATCCTCTGTCCTTTTCATCTAGCCCACCATTTTGGGGAGAGGGTAAGTGGGTGGGTTTGCAGCTGTGAGGGACAGACATCTTTTGGGAAGTGGGGGATAAGTCTTGTATTTGAATTTCTAACGTACCGATTCAACAATTAAGCTCCCCCGCCTCTTTTCCCTAAAAGGGCTTTAAGGAGATTCGAACCCAGAGCCCTGGCAGCTTGCTAAGGATGAGCCAGCGGTAGCACCAACTTTGGAAAAGAGGAATTAATGGGAGGCGAGGTGGGTGGGTTGGGGAGGGGTTGCAGAGAAATCAATCAAATCAGTACTTGGGATTAATTCTTCCCGGCTTTCCCACATGGATTCCAGCTATATTTCTTTCACCTTCTCTACCCTTTGACCAGTTATGTGGCTGAGCGTATAAATGGGTTTATTTTGTTTTAAAATTAGCCTCTCTTCCATACTCAAGAATGTGTCCAGCAGGGCTAATGGTCTTGTTCAGGGATCTCCAAATTTGGACACTTTTAAGACTAGTGGTCTTCAACTCCCAGAAAGACTTCAACTCCCAGAATTCCCCAGCCACCATGGAGAGCATGGTCCATAAGTGGCACCAGCATCTAAGTTCTGGGATACGAAGATCCATCTTCCAGTCACGGGACCAGAGACTTGTGGGGTGCCTGGTCCCATAATTCTTCCTACAGCAGGAGTCTCCAACCTTGGCAACTTTAAGACTTGTGGACTTCAACTCCCAGAATTCCACAGCCAGCGGAATTCTGGGAGTTGAAGTCCACAAGCCTTAAAGTTGCCAAGGTTGGAGACCCATCCTACAGGATGCAAATCATAGAGAGGAATGTTTGTAGTCCACCTCCTTGGCCCAAGCTGAGGAAGCCATCTTGGATTCCTTCCAACAAACATGGCTGCCTGAGGGATTCTGGGAGTCGAAGTCCATGAGTCTTAAAATGGCCACGTTTGGAGACCCCTGGTCTTGTTTAACTGTTTTCTAAAAATGGCTTCTATATTTTTTTATCCCCTCCTGTCTTCGCTCGGTATAATCTTCGTACAACTGCCTTCTCATACTGTTTTATTTTTTCTCGCACTCTCTCTCCTTTGTTTAACCAATTCACATTATTCTCTGCCTTCTGTATCTCTCTGCCCATCTTCCACTCCCTTATCAGGACCAAGAGGGGAAAAAAAATAAAAAAAGCATTTTGTAAATATTCTGCTGAACGTCATGGCTGCGTGCTGGCATCTCTTCCTTCAGATGGAGTCAAAACTGTCCTTTGTATTTTCTTAGTCTGGACAATTTTATTGAGGGTTGGCGGGGAGGTGGGGAATCAAACAAATGTACAAACAAACCCTCTTCTTGTTTATGCATTTATTTTTGTTCTGGAATTAAAGAAAAATAAAACTTGTATCCTTGAAAATAAAAACAAAAAGTATTAAATGGTTGAAAGCGAAAGCGTTCTGATTTAATTGGAGGCCTACACAGCCTCTCTCTAGTCCTTTTGCCCTAGCGAATCTTCTGGGAGAGGAAACCCCCTCCCCATCAATTGCATTCACCAATAACTTATCCGTTGTGGGGTCCTTGGTGGTCTTGAGCTTCAAGACGTCTCAATACCGAACTAGGTAACGTCATCAGTGCTAGAAGGGAGGGGAGTTTGCTGAGCGGGAGGAGGACGGTGAGGTCCTTCGTGCTCTTTGAACTTGGTGGTTTTCTTGCAGGCATTTCATTACCGAACTAGGTAACATGATCAGTGGTCGAAGGGAGTGGAGTTTGCAAAGAGGAGGACCGTGAGGTCCTTTGATACTCTCTGAGCTTGGTGGTTTTCTTGCAGGCGTTTCATTACCCAACTAGGTAACATCATCAGTGCTAGAAGGGAGAGAGGGATTTGTTTATATACCAGTGGCTTGTGCTGGTATTGTTTGTTCTGTAGCTGCTTGAGCAGGCTGTCGTTAATTGTTTGCTTGTTCGACTTGGCAGCATTAGTAGGTAAACAGACAGCAAAGCCCACAGTCCCTTCTGGCATGGATGTTACCTAGTAGGGTCATGAAATGTCTTCAAGGGAAAAAAACTAAGCACAGAGAGCAAAATAATCCTCTTCTTCCTCCACTCCACAAAGCCCTCTCTCTTCTAGCTCTGATCAGTAATGGTATTCTCCTTCACTACCGGTTCAGTAGCAGGAATGCGCACCCCGCCCCTTCTGCGCATGCGCAGACGTGCCTTGATGACATCTGGGTGGGTGGGCGGAGCCTCGTCCCGCCGCCACTACCTGTTAGCCCAAACTGGTGCGAACCAGCAGCATATACCACCTCTGGCCCTGATGATGTTACCTAGTTGGGTAATGAAAGGTCTGCAAAAAAAGCAGCCAAGCTCAGTCCTCCTCCTCAAATCTCACTCCCTTCTAGCACTGATGATGTTACCTAGCTGGGTCGTGAAACGCCTGCAAGACGACAACCAAGCTCGGAGAGCACCAAGGACCCCCACAGTTCAACCCTGAGACGCAAATGTTCTGTTGGCCGATCAACTTGACGTTTTATATTTCAGGACATCATCATGGTTTACACCTGAGTGAAGGCCTTTTTAAGGCCTGGTTCTCTTCGGCGGGTTGACCATTTGTAATCCCCCCCGGAGTCCTACGGGATTGGGCGGCATACAAATGTTATTAAACTTTAAACATCTTCCCAATCTTGGCCAACACCGAAGTTCTCCCATCTTTTAAGAGTTCAGTGTTTCTGGGTCTACAAACGGCTTCCTTCCACAACCTAACTTTTGGGAGAAAAAGCTTAAAAAGAGAAAAGGGGAAAAAAAGAAAAGAATTCTCCAACCCAGCATCTCTGCTTCTTCCTTCAGACAAGCCGGATGACAAACTTGGGTACCAATATTTTTTTTTTCCTCTCTCAAGAATGGGATTCCGAACCTATTTTAATTTTCTTCCATGTCCCATTCTAAGAGGATTTTGGTAGCCGCCTCCCTTGCTTCTCCAGTCTGTCCTATTTCAGATTATTATTTTTTTATTTATTAAACTGATCAGCCATCCGTTTTACTACAGGGTAACTCTGCCCATTTGCTCAAAATACATCACATAACCAGTATATTTTCCTGGCCAACCCAACATTTCCAGGCAAAGCTGGTAAGGGGAGCTACATCTCTGCTTACGTTGTAGAAAACACAAGTTTCTAATGGTGCTATTGGCAAACTAAATCTCTGGACGATCCCTCCCAAATTACGTTATTGAAGCTCTCGACTTGCCTATCTGTAAAACGGGCGCACTGATCTACTTCCTAACACATCCAGGGATAACTTTATGTCGCTTTCCCAGCCAAACGGCTGAGCCAGAAACGGATGAGTTCAAAACCATTAAAAAGGATCCACTTCGACCCCGTCCTGTTTCCTTCCCCGATGCATGTTGGGGCTTGCGCTTCTGGATTCAAATCCTGCCTCGAATGCAGGTTTGTGACCTCGGCCTGAGTCCCGGGGACCCTTCGAAGAGCTGCTTCGTCAGCTGCTGTGTTGGAGGGCAGCGTAGACTTGTTCCAGGATATTTCCGAAACCTTGATCCTTGGGTGTCCTAGATGCTAAGGAGCCCTGAAGAAAAAAATAGGAGGTTAGAGTTTTATTTAGAAATAGAAATAGAAAATAGAATAGAAATAATAGAGAAGAGAATGGGGGAGAAGGAGGAGGATTAGAATTAGAATAGCAATAGAAATTAGAGAATAGGGAATTAGAATAGAAATAGAAATTAGAGAATAGAATAGAATAGGAAAGAGAAAGAATAGAAAATATATGGAATGAGGAGAATAGAAATAGAAAGAATAGAATAGGAAATAGAATAGAGAATAGAATAGGGAATAAGGATAATAGAATAGAAATAGAAAATGNCCCGCCTAGCCAGCCAGATCAGCCGAATCAACCCTGGTGATCAATGGGGTGACAGATGTCGCAGCCAAATCGCCCTCACATCTAAATGTTTAAACCAGTTATCATTCGTCATTAATTCATTTAGTGCTGATAATTTAGATGAATCTAAGCTCATGCTTTAGTGCTTTAGATAAGGACAATGAGGTAATTCTGTGCCTACGATGATGATCCGGCATCTATCAAAAGCAGCAACAAGGCAGTAAAGTCCAAATATAGAAGTGGGAGGCTTTTTTTAAATTAAAGATAAATTGATATGGGAAGGCCAAAAAAAAAAAAAGCCCTTTTCACCAACCTTGATGATAAGAAATATAGCTGAGGAAGAATCAAAGGCTCCATTGTAGAGGGTAATGATTGTGGACCGATGTTTTCCGAACAGATTCCCAACCTGGAGAAATAAATTAAAAGGATGAATCCCCTTTTGTGGCAGCAGGACATAGTATATGAACTCAGTTCTACACAGGCTAGAATATAAAAAGTTAGATGCTATGGAAGAACAAGCAATTTGTGAAACAGATTTCTTCCATGCCTGTGGCCAATTTTCCTGGGATTTCAACTCCAGACTAGTCTGATACATTCTGAACATGTAGGAAAATGACATCATGGTTCTCTTTTCCCAGCTGCATTTGAATATTCCCCCAAAGAGGAAATACAAATATCTCTGGGATCTCCTCCAGTGCCCAAGTAAAAGTTGCCATGGATAAAACTTATACCTGCCCGCCCCCCTCCAAAGTTCTTTTTGAACAGTTTCCTTTCCCAGCATCCCACCCCAATAGGATGCACAAGGGAAGAAATTCAAACCTGCATGTTTGTCAGAATGAGAAGGATCCCACCAACAGAGATAAATGTCATTGCTGGATATAACATTATTGCAGTGGCTAGAAAGAATAAAAATCATTGTATTATCATGTTCATAACCAAGACATAGATAATCTATCATTCAAAATACTTGTTGTACACCTTCCATATTCATTCATAGACCAGAACTAGATAGTCAGTTGTGCTAGTGCATGAAAAGCCATTCATATATTGCCCATACAACCATTCCGATGAACCAGTTCCCAATGTACATAGAAGGAGCATAGCAAACTGTAGCAACAGATATTTTATTCTCAGTTCAGGAGACTGAGAAATTAGTCATAAAAAACATGAGCCCACAGTCTTTGCCCTGCCTTTGTCTTTTGATAAATATTAGCAAAAATTATCATGTGACGATGTGCTTGAGCAGAGGTAAGCTAGACAATGCACATGATTTTTGTGGGGAACTGGAGCCAACTCAAGCAATCTCAACAAAAATACATACAGTAGAATTATTTCTCAAGAGAGGCACACATCCAGTCAGACACCTTGTAGCCTTTCAAGATAATTGTATAAATGTATATTAAGATAAATCTCAGAGAGTAGCACAATGAATAGCTAGGATATGGTATATCCTTCACATCTAACTACTTGTCAAGCTTTGAACAGTCAAAGGATAGCCATTACCCCTCATTTAGCCAACAGAGGTTAGTTTAAACATTGCATTGATAACCAGTTACCAAGACATTCTATGTATCATGCCCTACCCTTAACTCAATGGTCCACTATCAATAATTGGACCCACTAAATTGCCTTTAGCTAAGATGAATTAATAGAATAAGGAGAACAAGGATCTTGGGGTTTTTTAGTAGGAGCATTAAAGAATTTTTTTAAAAAAACCCAGCAGTTGTTGGTTTTATATGAAAGGAAACCTGGCAACACGGTATTTCCTTTTCTATATAATTTTTAAGATACAAGGCTGTCTGTATCTCACAGTCTTAGTTTGAATTACAGAATTGGTAAAAATTTATCTGCGTTTCCCAAACTGTGTAACTACAAGTCGTCCTAGACTTACAACTATTCATTTAGCAACTTTTCAAAGTTGCAACACCACTGAATAAAATTACCAATTATTATTACCAGTTCTCGCACTTAACAGCTGTCACACAGTCCCTGCAGTCAAGTGATCAGAATTTGGGCCCTTGGCAACTGGCATGGATTTATGATGGCTACAATGTTCCAGGATCATGTGAATGCCATTTGGTAATTCACTTAACCACCATCTCAAAAAAGATCATAAAATTGAGTGCAACTTAACTCTTTCATTTAGCAACAGAAGTTCTGGTCACAATTGTGATCATAATTTAAGGACTAACTGCACTGGTGTTCCTAAGTCAGAACTTGCTACACAGAATGGGGGGAGTGTGTGTGTTTGTGTGTGTGTGTTCAAGCCTACCAAGCCAGTTGCAAGTTCTTTACTCATATCAAGGTGCACCTGTATATTCTTAAAAACCACATTTTGTATACTGCTAGTTTGCTATGCTAGCAAAAGGAAACAAACTGCAGAGAACCTTCCCCATCTATCCAACACCTCCCAATGATTCATCACCAGTATTCAGCTTACTTTCTTTAGCATTTTCTACATAGCGACACAGGTTTAGTGAGCTGAAGCGGGTTCTTCATTCAGAAGTACTCACCTGCTGAAGAAAATGCAATGAGGAGACTACCCATAGTGTAGGAAGATCTGGAAAACAAAAGGGGAGCCTGAGCTGTCAGTGCATATGAGGTTGTGGCATATTTTCACTTCATCTCCACCAGATACCATGGCTTTCTTCTCCAGCTGTCCATCTTGAACTTAGATAGTAGGTAGGTTGGTAGTAATGGTGGGTTTCAAAATGTTTTAGAACCTCTTCTGTAGGTGTGGTCTGCTTTGTGGGAGTGGCTTGCTGGCCATTTGACCAGGTGGGAGTGGCTTGGCAGTCATGTGACTGGGTGGGNTGGGGAACTATTGACACGCATTGTAACTGAACTGTCACTGAGTGAACTGTTTTAAGTTGAGGAATAACTACAGCTGTGCGGGGGGGGGAATCTTGTTACTAAGCACATCTTAGCAAGTGTGAGCTATCATGTTGCACAGCCTGCTGCCTGTTACAGGAAGTTTATCAAAGACTACACAGCCTTCCGGCCTGTGATTCATCCTTCCAGCGTAAGTTCTGTATTTATGTTTGTAAAAAGTCACGTGCATTATTTCCCCATGACAAAGCAGCATTGCCAAGCTCCTGTCCTCACCCACCTCCCCAAACACGGCAAATCCTCTGAAGTGAACTCGAAGATTCCTTTGTTTGGAGTTCCAGCAGCCCCAACAAAACCTTTCTCTCTCAGGCTAACAAGTCTGTCCGTCCGGAAGATGAATAGTTGTCTACCACATCTATTTATCTCCGCCCCCTGCCTTTTATCCCTAGATCTAGGGTGGGGCTTTGCTAGAAGCAGTGGCTCTTCCGTCCCAAGGACCGTCCCATAGATTTCCACTGCTCTCCTCTCCTCTGTGCGTCTGTGCATTAGGCACTGGACCCAGCTGATCCTTCTCTTCCTCATCAGCCACCTCCAGACCTGGGGGCTGTTGACCCTCCATTTGAGGGCTGATGGATGGCCCAGGCTCTGCCCCCTGTCTCCCTCCCCCTCGAGCTCCCAGGTTGCCTGGATGCTGACCCTGATTCCCACACCGCCTCATCTGATTCAGCTGCTGGAGGGGCCAATGACTGGCAGACCACAACATCTCCGTACACATCAAAGGAAAATATAAAGTCATGTTTCCTGACCAACGAATTAGAGTTCTAGCCCCGCCTTAGGCATCAAAGCCAATTGGGTGACTTTGGGCCAATCACCAGGATACCGTGAGTTCTAGTCCCGTCTTAGGCATCAAAGCCGGCTGGGTAACTTTGGGTCAATCACCAGGAGACGGTGAGTTCTAGTTCCGCCTTAGGCATCAAAGCCAGCTGGGTAACTTTGGGTCAATCACCAGGAGACTGTGAGTTCTAGTCCAACCTTAGGCATAAAAGCGAATCAGGTGACATTGGGTCAATCACCAGGAGACGGTGAGTTCTAGTTCCGCCTTAGGCATCAATGCCGGCTGGGTAACTTTGGGTCAATCACCAGGAGACTGTGAGTTCTAGTCCCACCTTAGGCATCAAAGCCGGCTGGGTAACTTTGGGTCAATCACCAGGAGACCGTGAGTTCTAGTCCCACCTTAGGCATCAAAGCCGGCTGGGTGACTTTGAGCCCAAGCCANCCAAACACGGCAAATCCTCTGAAGTGAACTCGAAGATTCCTTTATTAGGAGTTCCAGCAGCCCCAACAAAACCTTTCTCTCTAAGGCTAACAAGTCTCACGGTCCGGAAGATGAATAGTTGTCTACCACATCTATTTATCTCCACCCCCTGCCTTTTATCCCTAGAGCTAGAGTGGGGCTTTGCTAGCAGCAGTGGCTCTTCCGTCCCAAGGACCGGCCCATAGATTTCCACTGCTCTCCTCTCCTCTGTGCGTCTGTGCATCAGGCACTGGATCCAGCTGTTCCTCCTCTTCCTCATCAGCCACCTCCAGACCTGGGGGCTGTTGACTCTCCATTTGAGGGCTGATGGATGGCCGAGGCTCTGCCCCTTGTCTCCCTCCCCCTCGAGCTCCCAGGTTGCCTGGATGCTGACCCTGATTCCCACACCGCCTCATCTGATTCAGCTGCTGGAGGGGCCAGTGACTGGCAGGCCACAACAGCTCCGTACACATCAAAGGAAAATATAAAGTCATGTTTCCTGACCAATGAATTAGAGTTCTAGTCCCGTCTTAGGCATCAAAGCCGGCTGGGTAACTTTGGATCAATCACCAGGAGACTGTGAGTTCTAATCTCGCCTTAGGCATCAAAGCCAGTTGGGTGACTTTGGGTCAATCACCAGGAGACAGTGAGTTCTAGTCCAACCTTAGGCATAAAAGCGAATAGGGTGACTTTGGGTCAATCACCAGGAGACGGTGAATTCTAGTTCCGCCTTAGGCATCAATGCCGGCTGGGTAACTTTGGGTCAATCACCAGGAGACTGTGAGTTCTAGTCCAACCTTAGACATAAAAGCAAATTGGGTGACATTGGGCCAATCACCAGGAGACGGTGAGTTCTAGTCCCCGCTTAGGCATCAAAGCCAGCTGGGTAACTTTGGATCAATCACCAGGAGACAGTGAGTTCTAGTCCAACCTTAGGCATAAAAGCGAATCGGGTGACTTTGGGCCAATCACCAGGAGACGGTGAGTTCTAGTCCCGCCTTAGGCGTCAAAGCCGGCTGGGTGACTTTGAGCCCAAGCCACCTCCCAGGGTTGTTGTGTGAAAAATAGGAGGAGGAAGGAAAATTAGGCATACATTGAGTTATCTTTAGTAATCTCAATCAACATGATTCGCTTTATTTCTCAGTAGGTTTTTATTTCCTTAACACAGCAAGACATATATTTCCACTGACCTCGTTGTACACAAAACATCCCAACAAAATACCATAACGATATTTCATTTTGTGTGCATTTATATAAACCCCTTGGCTTAATTAAGAGCCTTATATTACTCTCCCCAGACCCGTAGTAATAATAATAATAATAATAATAATAATAATAAT